GCTGCTGCTGATTGCTGTTGTTGCTGCAGCATCAAGCTGCAGCACAACAGGAGGGCCCAGCTTATCGAAGAGTTCTCCTACTATTCTTGCTGCTCCCTCAGCAGAAACTGCTGCTGCTGCTGCTGCTGCTGCTGCCTGGAGCTCCTCTCTTCCTGCTGCAGTGAGAGCAGCTAAGGACCCCAACCCTGCTGCTGCTGCTGCTTTTGCTGCTGCAGCAGAAGCAGCATCACTGCAGGGATCTTCTTCATCTGCTGCTGCACTCTTTCCTGCTGCTGCCGGAGCAGCCGTCGTAGTCGTGCTTGTCGTGCTGCTGCTGCTGCTGCTGCTGCTGCTGCTGCTGCTGCTGCTGGCTGCTGCTGCTGCCGGCACGAGAGGAAGGAAGGACCTGGAGAGCCCATCGATGCCTGAGTCGAGTTCTCCGATGAGAAGCAAATGTTCTAGCTGCTGCTGCTGCTGCTTTTCTTGCTTTTGCTGCTGCTGCTGCAGCAGCTGCTGCTGCTGCTGCTGCTGCTTCCTCGTTGCTGCAGCACCATCCTCTACTGATTGCCACTCCCTCAAAGCAGCTAAAATCTCAGCCTGCTCTTCAGCAGAAAACATTTTGTTTGTTTCTCCGTTTGCTGCTGCACTGTATAACTGCTGCTGCTGCTGCTGCTGCTGCTGCTGCTGCTGCGGCAGCAGCAAATCAGAGGCCATCATGGCTCCTTCTTGGTTTCTCCCCACCAAGAATTCCTGCAGCAGTTTCTCGTCAGCTGCTGCTGCTGCTGCTGCTGCTGCTGGAGGCTCACTTATGCTTTGCTGCTTGTCTGCTGCTTCAGCTGCTGCTGCTGCTGCTGCTGCTGCTGCTGGGGGGTTCTCCCTGTACAAGCCCTCAACTATGGGGCCCCCATGGGGCCCCCAGTGCAGCTGCTGCTGCTTCGTTTGGTTTCTAAGGCCGAGGGGCTCAGAGGGTCTCCATGCTGCTGCTGCTGCTGCTGCAGCAGCAGCACAAACTACTGCAAGCAGCAGCAGCAGCCGAAGACGCCTCATTTGCTGCAGCCTGTATAAGAGTGCATAACGAACACAGACATAGATCTCAATGCTGCTGCTGCTGCTGCTGCTGCTGCTGCTGCACGCCCGCTGCTGCTGCTGCTGCTGCTGCTGCTGCTGCTGCTGAGGAGACAGTTAGGGACCCCTGCAGGCAGCAGCCATTCTTCGTGTTGTGTTTTAGCTGCGAGAAAAGAAAAAGAAGAAACACATAAATACAATATTGAAATTAGGGTTTAGGGTTTAGGGTTTAGGGTTTAGGGTTTAGGGTTTAGAGCGCCACTGGACAGCCCGGTGGTCGCACCGTAGTCGGCTGCTGCTGCTGCTGCTGCTGCTGCTGCTGCTGCTGCTGCTGTATATTTTCTTCTTTTTTCTGCTTTTTATAATAAATAAATTAATTTAATTAAATATTTTGTTGTTTTGTTTTTATATTAAATACAATAAAACAACCCAATCAACCACAAATCGCCCCCGGGCCTTATAAAGCGACCTGCTGCTGCTGCTGCTGCTGCTGCTGCTGCTGCTGCTGCTGCTGCTGTTGCTGCTGCTGCTACCAGGCAGCATTTGTTGGTTGGTTTCTGCTTGCCGTTCTTTGTTTGTTTTTATATATTTTTGTTTATTTATATTTTTTATTTTTGTTGTAGTTTATTTTTGTTTATTTTTGTCTCATTTTCCCCTCCTTCTTTTTAGCTGCTGTAGGCGCTTGCGGTGTATCGACAGCTCAGGGTGTACATACACCGCCAGGTGTACATACACCTCAACCAGCTGTCTCCTCTCGCTGCAGCCTCTTTGCTGCTGTTCTGTAGATAAATATAGGGCCCATAGACGCTCTCATGGTGGGGCTGCTGCTGCTGCTGCTGCTTGTTGTGCTGCTGCTGCTGTTGCTGCTGCATGTACCCAAGTGCTGCTGCTGCTGCTGCTGCTGCTGCTGCTGCAGAGAATATTAAGGTCTTTGGGCTCGGCCTTCCCCTCAGGGACGGAGCAGCACAGAGCCTTACCTCTACTGGCCTGTAGACCCCCTAAACCCTAAACCCTAAACCCTAAACCCTAAAATACCTAAACCCCTAAAACAATGCACTGTACACCCCGGAGAGACCCGCCCCTAAACCCTAAACCCTAAACCCTAAACCCTAAATGCTTGTGCTATACTGAGGGTTTCGAGAGCTTTAAAACAATCGATATTAGGGTTTAGGGTTTAGGGTTTAGGGTTTAGGGTTTTTAGGGGTCCACCCTCCTCCTCGCTGTTTCCCTTGACGCCAATAAAATAAATAAATAAATAAAATAAATAAACAAAATAAATAAACAGATATATTTGTTGATATGTATATTTGTTTATTTGTTTTATTTATTTATTTTTCTTTTTTTTTATTTTATTGGCGTGAGGCAGATTCAGATATTTGTTTTAATATAAATGTAATAATTATTCTCTATTTATAATATATATATAGGTACATCTACAAATATATATATATATATA